CAGCTGGCAAATTCCCGCCGGTGGAGCTCCTTTTTATAATAAGCCCCACTGTTCTGGAACCTTCCAACTAGTCATGTGACCTTCTGAAATTTTCTACGAGGACACATGCTACTTGTTTTTCCTGTCCAAACTCTCTTCAAATTTAAAGGCACAGCAATTATATATATATACTTTTTTTTTTAATTAAAAGAGGGAGGGGCAGCCGCATAATCATGTTATCGGGCCCAAAGGATTGAGCCTTCTTAATACATGGGAATGCAGGCCACACCTTTTCTCCCTCTCCCGAATACCAAATATCTAACCATTTAAATAACTACACACACGGAATCTTTAATGGCAAATGTTTGGCCGCGGCACTTTATTGGTTTAAATAAATAAATAATAACAAATATTATAAATAATGAATTAATAATCAAGTTTATATACTTCTTTTATCAAAAAACAATCAAATAGCTCAGTATATACTTGATCCACGCTCCCACATTGTTTGCAGGCGCGTGCCCCCGCCCACCTGCATCTGCCGTGATTTGATGCCCAAGGGATCAATCATCTGATTTAGGTCTAAATCGGATGATCAATCCCTGTCCTATCAGGGTTCTTCCTGTACCTGTGTTTACACTTACACAGGTACAGGGAATGATTAAAGCTTCTCTCTCTGGGCACATTATGTCAATTTTTCCACTGTTTGCCACTGTTTTGGTGCTGTTTATTGCTGTTTGTTATAGGTATTAGACGGCGGGGATGCGTGTTGTATTGAGGAGGGCGCTTTCATAATGGAGAGGTTGCACTTCCATCCACTGGCTTGTTATGGTGGAATTGCTGTGTGGGCGCATGCGTGTTGCGCGACTACTGCTTGGACACGTGGTTCACTTCTGCCCTTAGGTTTACCTGGCCGGAGATGCTGTCCTTGATTGATGATGCTATTTAAGTGCCCAGCCACATGCCGCTTTTGGAGCCATTGGGGAGGCCCACACAGTGGGCGGTTGACGCGATATAGTGACTTAGAGGTATGATATATGGTGGTTGATTTGATTTTATGGATGGAGTAGTCATTGGGGGGATTACTAAGCATGGCTATTACAATAATTATCTGGTCTTGTATTCTCCTTACACCTTTCCTTTGGATGGGATTACCAGGTAGGGGTTTGGGAATGGTTTGCCGAATAATGCTATGATTTTTTAGAATATGGATAGTTCCATATTGACTCATATATATTGTTATATCTAGATTACTTCTTGGAACGCATTAAATGGAATGTACTGCATATGGATAATATCCACATACGAATACATCCGCTACTTTTCTCTTGAGTCACTGAGTGACCTGCTGCTGGTTATGCTTGAGATTCATTATCCCCCCCTCTTTTCCTTCTTCCTCATTTCCTACCCTTTTTCTCTATGTAGTGTGACTATTTTTTTTGTTCTTTCTGCAGGGCTCCTTTCGATTGGGGATGAGGGGGTGGGCTGTGTATATGGACACTCACTCAAGACCATGTTTTGACCCTCTGTGTGGGTGTTGTTTCCTCTTGTGACGGAGGGTAGGCAGGACAGCACACACATAGTAGATGGCAAATGCACATAGCTTTATTAAGACAAACAGATGACAGTCACTCAATAGAGGGATTTGCAGGGAGGGTGAATTCGCCAGTAAAGGGTAGCAAGGAGGGGCCAACACACTTATAGTCCAACACCGAGAGCCAAGGAAGAGTCTCTGTAGCAACTGTAATCCAACAGGGGGGGTGGGGGGTCAGTACAGTAACAGTTCAGGTAAAACAGGGAGAGTGCATATACTCACGGATCTGACAGGGTGACTGGTCTCCCAGGGATAGAAAGTGGAACACATGTACCTGTTGGAGTCCAGATCATGCGGGTGTCTCCCCTTTTGGGCTGAGTCCTCAGGCAGCTGGCAGGCAATCTCTCCCCCTGTACTGGGGGTCTCGGGCAGCTAGCAGGTAATCTGTCCCCTGGACTGAGGGTCTCGGGCAGCTGACAGGCAATCTCATAATCTCTCCCCTGGACTGAGGGTCTCAGGCAGCTGGCAGGCAATCTCACAATCTCTCCCCTGGACTGGGGTCTCAGGCAGCTAGCAGGCAATCTCTCCCCTTGGCTGGGGTCTCTGACAGCTGGCAGGCAATCCCTCCCCTGGACTGGGGGTCTCGGGCAGCTAGCAGGCAATCTCTCCCCTGCGCTGGTCTTAAGCAGGCTTGGGTGTGGTTCCCCGTTTGGCTGGGGGGTCTGCAGACTCTGGCCACAAAGGTCCCGCCGCAGCTGGGCTCCTATAGTGGCTGCGCAGTTGTGAAAAATGACCGGAGTTGCCCGGCAAAGAGGAACGCCCCCTGGACAGGGGCCGCACCTCTTGTGAGCGTGGCCTTTGTCCAGGGACATCCGCAAGCGTGGGAACTTCCCGTGCCTGCGCTGCGGATGACAGGGCTGAGGTGGCGTCAGCGAGACGCCGTAGCCTGGAACATCCCTGCAGGAGGTTCGCACCTCTTCGTGGAGAGGTGTGAACCTCACCACCTTCTCCTCTCCGGCCCTGTCCGGGGAAGGAGAAGATAGTGTCAGGGGTGTGTGAAAGCCGCACCTCTCATCCCAGGGCTGCAGGATGAGAGGTGGAGGGGGCTCACTGGACCACAGGGAGTAATTGGGCTGGAGACAGGGGACACAGTGAGGGGCCAGGATGACACTGGACCCCCCGGGGACATCAGAGGGACTGATGCAGGGAATTATTTAGGGCAAGTTGAGGACATGCAGCCAGCTGTCTGGGAGGGGGGGAAGCCACGGTAATTGAATTTGGCCATTTGGCAGAGTGACACGGAGGACATACAGGGATTGAATCTGAGGGACAGAGAATTAATAAGGGGACTAAACTAAATCAATAATTGGCAGGGGTCCCTATACCGTGACACCCCACATCACCATTTATGTTGCCATGTGAGTCTGCGGAGAATGGTTTTTGTAGGGTTTATGATGCTTTTGTGACACTGTATTTGTATGATTAATGGTATATATGCAAGAAAAAGTATGTGAACCCCTTATTATTTATGAATATAAAACTGAACGTCATCTTCCAGCAATAGAAGAACACAGTTTGAACATAATTACATGCCTTAGATGTTGCCTGGTCATAACATGTAAACATTCACAGTGCAGGGAGGAAAAAGTATGTGACCAGCTAATGAGCAAATTGCAGGAGTGAGCCAACCTTGACTCCAATCAGTGTGATGATATTGGATGTGTTTGATGCCTTTAAAAAAAAGACACACCTGTTTTGGGCTGGTTCAAGAAGCACTGTCTTATGTGAACAATGCCTCGCAGAAAAGAGCTCTCAGAAGACCTACAATCAAGAATTGTTGACTTGCATGAAGCTGGAAGGGTTACAAAATATCTCCAAAAGCCTTGATGTTTCCACGGTAAGACAGAATGTCTACAAATGGAGAAAGTTTAGCACTGTTGCTACTCTCCCTACGTGGTCGTCCTGTAAAAATGATGCAAGAGCGCAGCGCGAATGCTGCATGAGCTAAAGAAGAATCCCAGAGTGCAGCTAAAGACCTACAGAAATCTCTGGCACATGCTTCATTTTTGTTGACACATCTACAATAAGGAAAACATTAAACAAGAATGGACGTACATGGGAGGACACCACGGAGGAAGCCATTGCTCTCCAAAAAGAAGATTGCGCACGTTTGAAGTTTGCAAAAGAGCACCTGGATGTTCCACAGCCTACTGCAAAATATACTGTGGACTGAAACCAAGATTGCTGTTGTTTGGGAAGAACACACAACACTATGTGTGGAGAAAAAAAGGCACAGCACACCAAACATCAAAACCTCATCCCCACTGTAAAACATGGTGGAGGGAGCATCATGGTTTGGGGCTGCTTTGCTGCCTCAGGCCCTGGACAGATTGTTGTCATTGATGGGAAAATGAATTCCAATCAAGACATTTTGCAGGAAAACGCCATCTGTCTGCCAACATGAGCTCCGCAGAGGATGGGTGATGCAACAGGACAATGACCCAAAGCATACAAGCTAATTCAACAAAACAATGGCTGCAACAGCACAGAATACGCCTTCTGGAGTGGCCCAGTCAGAGTCCTGCAACCCGATTGAAATGCTGTCATGACCTTAAGAGAGCGATTCACACCAGACATCCCAACAATATTGCTACACTGAAACAGCTTTGTGAAGAGGAGTGGCTACAGATCGTTGTGCAGGTCTGATCTGCAATACAGGAAACGTTTGGTTGAGGTTATTGCTGCCAAAGGAGGGTCCCAGTTATTAAGTCCAAAGGTTCACATACTTTTTCCTCCCTGCACTGTGAATGTTTACATGTTATGTGCAATTTACACCATGGCAACGTCTAATGTTTGTGTAGTATTATGTTCAGCAGACTGTGTTCTTCAGGCACGTTCAGAGCACATTTCACGCCCAATCATGCCTCCACGTAATCCCAAGTGTTCACATACACCAAACTGTATATATATATATATTATATATATATATATATACACGCACCATCTTCCAGCTAAGGCATTTGCATGCCTTAGCTGGTCAGGTCCTGACGCAGCTAACAAGCAAAATGCGTCGACCTCTGGAGACAGTGATGCCATAGAACATTATGCTGTTACCTGGACTTATTAGCCCAATGTGTTTGGAAGATGCATGTTTAACTACTGGCCGACGCAGATAGCCGAATGATGGCTACACTGCGGCCAGCCAGTTCTGGGTGGGCGTCATATGACGTCCTCCCAGAACGCGCTCTCCTGCGCGCCCCCAGGGGCCCCCTAGTGATCCATTGCCGGACACAGTGATCCCATCACTGTGGCCTTTTACAACATGATCAGCCATGTCCAATGACACCTGATTACCATGCAATTGCCGGTTCTCGGTTGCACTTTCCTCATGCTGTCAGATCAGTGCCCACCGGCAGTCAGTAGAGCAGTGCCCAGCAGGGTGATGATCAGTGCCCAGTGCCCAGCAGTGCCACCCACTAGCTGCCGCCATCAGTGCCCAGCAGTGCACCCAACTGTCAGTGCACCCACCTGTACCCCGAGCAGTGTCTCACACACCTGCGCCCAGAAGTGCCACCTACCCGTGCCCAGCAGTGCCACCCACCTGTGCCAACCAGTGCCACCCACCTGTGCCATCCACCAGTGCCCATCAGTGCAGCCCCAGTGCTCATCAGTGTCAGTGCCCTGCCAGTCAGTGCCCAGCATTGCCGCCAGTCAGTCAGTGATGCCAGTCGCCTATCAGTGTTGCCTACAGTGCCGCCTATCAGTGCCGCCTGACATTAGTGCTGTCTATCAGTTCCGCCTATCCGTGCCACCTCATTAGTGCTGCCTATCAGTGCTGCCTATCAGTGCCCTTCAGTGCTGCCTATCAGTGCCGCCTATCAGTGCCCATCAGTGCTGCCTCATCAACGCACATCAGTGAAGGAGAAAAATTACCTGTTTGAAAAATTTTATAAAAGAAACAAAAAAACTTTTTTTTTTCAAATTTTTTGCACTTTTTTTGTTTATAGCGCAAAAAGTAAAGCGCCCAGCGGCGATTAAATGCCACCAAAGAAAGCTCTATTTGTGAGAAAAAAATGATAAACATTTCATATGGGTACAATCTTGCATGACCGCGCAATTGTCAATCAAAGTGCGACAGCGCTGAAAGCTGAAAATTGGCCTGGTAAAGAAGGGGGTATAAGTGCCCGGTAGGCAAGTGGTTAATATATAACATTAGGTTGTCCACTTAATGTATTAGTAAAGTCCCATCAGGTTTTGTTTCTCTTTGTATTGCATATGAGGCATGAAGTACACATGCAGTCCAGAATAATAGCTTGTCTGAGCGATATATCATTTAAGTGACAACTTTGTGTAAAAAAAATTTTTTTTTGTCATTTTCCAAAACTTGTGGGAAAAAAATCTTCCATGGACTCAACATGCCTCTCAGCAGATAGCTTGGGGTGTCTACTTTCTGGAAATGTGATAGGCAGTCAGAAAGTAAAATCTGTGTAAATTCCATTATCTACACCATAGTTTGTAGATGCTATAACTTTCACACAAACCAATTAGTATGCAGTTATTGAGATTTGTTTTACAAAAGATAATGTAGCAAAATACTTTTTGGTCTAAATTTATGATGAAATTTGAGGTGGTTTTTATGAGAAAATATCATTTTTATTTTTGTTTTTACCTCAAAAAAGAAACAGAGGTGATCAAATTTCAACAAAAGAAAGCTCTATTTGTGTGAAAAAAGTACATAAATTTAATTAATGTACAGCATTGCATGACCGCGCAATTGCCAGTTAAACTACCGCAAAAAATGGTGTAAATTGCAGTATTAATACCATAGTTTGTAGATACTATAACTTCACACAAAGCAATCAATATACACTTTTTGGGACTTTTTACCAAAGACATGTAGCAGAATACATTTTAGCCTAAATTTATGACTAACTTTGAGTTTACTATATATTTTTTATAGCCGAAAGAAAAAATATTGTTTTTTTTATTTTGGTCTTTTTTTGTTTATAGTGCAAAAAATAAAAAGCGCACAGGTGAACAAATACCACCGAAAGAAAGGTGTCCTTTTATGACACACAGAATAGCTGAGATTCAGAGGATCGCAACTATTCTCTGGTCATTCACAGTTTATAACACTCAGGAGAACATGTTCAGCCCTTCACTGGAGATCTGTGTTCTCCCTCCAGATTCTCCAGCCCAGAGCTGGAGAATCGGAGGGACCGCAAACTAAGCAGAGATAATTTACCTCTGTTTAGTAAACTGATCTTTTACTGTAATCTCGCGAGATTATAGTAAAATCAGCCGTTTTCCAGCATTTGTAGACCGTTCTCCCTTTGTTTGGAGAACTGATCTACATATGCTTCATAAACGGCATTCACAGGAGAACTGTGTTCTCTGAGAATGCCGGAGAACTGAGCAGCGATCTATTACTGCTGGTTCATAAACAGACACCAAAATAACACCTTTTCAAATTCTGAAATCAACGTATGAAGTGGCCTTACAAATATTTTTTAACAAATCAATTGTAATTGGCCTTCTAGTATCTGGTAAATGATGGGGCTTCTTATAACCTTTAAGGACCTTCTGTTCGGAAAAGAATGAATTGCACGGGCTAAATTTCATCGTTTAACCACTTCCCATCCGCCCCCCCCCCCCCCCATCCACCCCCCCCCCCCCCCCCCCCCCCCCCCCTCCTTCCCCTCTTCTCATCCTTCTCCTTCTCCATCTTCTCATCCTTCTCTTCTTCTCCTTCTTCTCATCTTCTCCTTCTCCTTCTTCTCATCCTTCTCCTTCTCCTTCTTCTCATCCTTCTCCTTCTCCTTCTTCTCATCCTTCTCCTTCTCCTTCTTCTCATCCTTCTCCTTTCTCCTTCTTCTCATCCTTCTCCTTCTTCTCATCCTTCTCTTTCTCCTTCTTCTCATCCTTCTCCTTCTTCTCATCCTTCTCCTTCTTCTCATCCTTCTTCTCATCCTTCTCCTTCTTCTCATCCTTCTCCTTCTTCTCATCCTTCTTCTCATCCTTCTCCTTCTTCTCATCCTTCTTCTCATCCTTCTCCTTCTTCTCATCCCTTCTCTTCTCATCCTTCTTCTCATCCTTCTCCTTCTTCTCATCCTTCTCATCCTTCTCCTTCTTCTCATCCTTCTTCTCCTTCTTCTCCTTCTTCTCATCCTTCTCCTTCTCCTTCTTCTCATCCTTCTCCTTCTCCTTCTTCTCATCCTTCTCCTTCTCCTTCTTCTCATCCTTCTCCTTCTCCATCTTCTCATCCTTCTCTTCCTTCTCCTTCTCCTTCTTCTCATCCTTCTCCTTCTCCATCTTCTCATCCTTCTCCTTCTTCTCATCCTTCTCCTTCTCCTTCTTCTCATCCTTCTCCTTCTTCTCATCCTTCTCCTTCTTCTCATCCTTCTCCTTCTTCTCCTTCTCCTTCTTCTCATCCTTCTCCTTCTCCTTCTTCTCATCCTTCTCCTTTCTCCTTCTTCTCATCCTTCTCCTTCTCCTTCTTCTCATCCTTCTCCTTCTCCATCTTCTCATCCTTCTCCTTCTCCTTCTTCTCATCCTTCTCCTTCTCCTTCTTCTCATCCTTCTCCTTCTTCTCATCCTTCTCCTTTCTCTTCTTCTCATCCTTCTCCTTCTCCTTCTTCTCATCCTTCTCCTTCTCCATCTTCTCATCCTTCTCCTTCTCCTTCTTCTCATCCTTCTCCTTCTCCTTTCTCTTTCTCCTCCTTCTCCTTCTCCTTCTTCTCATCCTTCTCCTTCTTCTCATCCTTCTCCTTCTCCTTCTTCTCATCCTTCTCCTTCTCCTTCTTCTCATCCTTCTCCTTCTCCTTCTCCTTCTCCTTCCTCATCTCCAAGGGCATTTAAATTAAAGGTACAGTGTTCTGCACTAATTTAAAGGCTCTCTGAAGCCTAGAAACCCTTTTTATAAGTTAACTTCGTAGCGAATAAATTCGCATCGAATCGAATTTCTTCCTGAAATTCGGCGAATCAGCCGAATCGAATTTTTGAATAATTCGCTCATCTCTAGTTAGGACGTATAAACCTAATTAAAATGGTAATTATACCTAAAATACTCTATAGATTTCAAATGATCCCAATCAAACTCCCAGAGGCGTTTTTTAAGATAATGAGAAGAATGCTAAGAAGATATATATGGAGGAATAAAAAACCAAGAATATCATATGAAACACTAAGTAGGACTAAAGAGAAAGGGGTATGGGACTACCTGATGTCAAGAGATATTACAAAGCTGTAATTTTAGCAAGAATTTATGATTGGACTTTTAACTATAAGGGGAAAAGTTGGGTAAAAATAGAAAATGAACTGAGTGGAATTAATTTCAGTAAGATGATATGGGTTCCAGCACAGTATAGAACAATTAAAGAAAGCACAAGCACTTACACTTTAAATGTGTTAAACATATGGGATAATTTACACAAACATATGAAATGGGAATTCAACTCTATATTAATGCCTCTTGCAAACACGGAATTTTTCCCTCCAGGAAAAGATGAGATATCACGGAGATGGTTTAAAAAGGAAGATATCCAATTGAGAGACGTATTGATAGAGGGGGAACTGAAAACATTTAAAGAACTAAAAGAGAGGGGAGGAGATATGTTTACTAAAATAGATGAGTGGAAATATCAACAATTAAAATGTTTTATTGGAACTCTCCCAAAACCCTTGAGATTAAAAAAGGAGTGGAATATGTTTGAAAGGCTATTAGAAACACGGCGAGATGGGAAACACGGTGTTACAAAAATGTATAAAATACTCACAGAATTAGACACAGACACAAAGTTAATTTTCATAACAAATTGGGAAAGAGACATGGAGGTGGAGATAGATGAAGATCAACAGAATAAGATATTTAGATTAGTTCACGAGAGTGTTAGTATGAGAGACGTTGAGATTAACTATAAATGTTTGACACGATGGCATATTACACCGAGCACTGAGCACAAGATGAGGGGGGAGAAGTCAAAAATGTGTTGGAGAGGATGTGGGGAGGAGGGCACGGTGTTCCATATTTGGTGGCAATGTCCAAAAATTCAGGATTTCTGGAAGACAATAGTCAATTTAATAGAAATAATAACTGGAAATAACATAGGATTAGACCCAAACATGTGTCTCCTACATAATGTTGAGACAACAGTAAATAAATACAAAGAATCAGGAGTATGGTACTACTTAAGTGCTGCAAAAGGGTTGATCCCCAAGTTTTGGTGGAAGACAGAGGTGCCGACGGAGGAGGATTGGATCAATAGGGTAAACCAGATTAGTAGAATGGAAAAATCTTATTATACTCAGGAAGACAGGTTGAAATTATACTACTCGCGATGGGAAAAAATGGGAAAAATCAGGACTAAAAGAGAAATATAGAAAACTATAAACTAGGAAAGTTATTTAAAGTTATTGGGCCTTGAGAGATTGGAGATCTTGCAGAGGGGAGGGAGGGGGGGAGGGGGGAAAAGGTGGGTTGGGAGGGAAGGGAAATAAAAGAGGTAAATAGGAAGGACAAAGTAGAAATGTATGGATTATTTATATGTATTGTGTTTCTTCTTATGGAATTTTTGTAATAACATGAAAAAATTAATAAATATTTAAATTAAAAAAAAAATATCCCCCCTTAATCTCCTCTCTCAAGAGAGAATAAATTCAGTTCCTGTAATCTTTCCTCATAGCTGATCTCCTCCATGCCTCTTATCAGTTTAGTTGCCCTTCTCTGTACTTTCTCCAGTTCCCCAATGTCCTTTTTGTGAAGTGGTGCCCAAAACTGAACTGCATATTCCAGATGAGGTATTACTAATGATTTGTACAGGAGTAAAATTATATTTCTCCAGTGCAGGTTTTCCAGGCCACTATGGCAGAGGTGGTTCCGGATCGG